ATTTCTGGACATATCTCAAAAGACTGTGGTTTTACATTCACACCCACTGCTGGTACTCAACTCTCGGTAGGGCCGCGCTGTGATTACGACTTACACCTTGACATGTCTTTTCTCCAGGCGGTCGTCACTCGGTGGTCTTATGGTTTGAGACTCGGCAATGGCGTTAGCGTCGCTTGGTTTCTGTGTGATAGTTCCATCAGTTCCATCTGGTTTCGTCGATTCGCCTAGTTTACTTCAGGGCAAGCGTTGTTGGTTTTTAGTGGCGTTTGCGAGACGAACCGACTGTGGTTTTGCATTCACACCCACTGCTGGTTCTCAGCTTTCGGTTGGGCCGCGCTATGATTTCGACTTACACCTTCACATGTTTTATCTCCAGCTGGCCGTCGCAACCTTTACTCGGTGGATGCGTGGTTGGGGACTCTTCGCAATCGCGTTAGCGTCGCTTAGTTTTTGTGTGATCGTTTCTTCTGTTTTCGTCGATTCACCGAGTTTACGTCAGGGCAAGCGTTGTTGGTTTTTAACGGCGTTTGGAGAAATTTAACAAGTTGTGCGCCTCGAGCGTAGCATTCTCCGCCGGTCAGCGGCCAAACTCATAAGTGTAAGCTCACATGGAACGTTAGCCAGCCAGTAGCATCAAAGCGATCGGTTTTGTCTGCGGTTGCCTTGTCGTGAAGCGGTTGTCTAAGCGTTCCCCGTCCACCCTACCCTCTTCTTTTACCCTTCACCCTACCCTCTATCTAGAGGCTCTCTAGGCTATAGCGGAGGCCCTTGGATACACAGGGCACCCAAATTCCTTTTAAGGTGGCAGAAACGTAACTAAGGCCTCGTGTATTTTAGCCTCTGTTTGTAAGCGTACAATCACTGGTATTGGTATTTTTGAGCGTCTTTTCATAGCATAGCATTGGTGCGGGATAGTTGTAGCCTTTTTTGCAGCGTTCGTAGCGTTCATGGGGCATTGGGGTGGAAAGGTTGTGACATTTACAGCGTTTGTAGTGTTTATGGGGCATTGGGGCTGGACGTTTCACTATTTACGAAGAAGTGTTGAAAAAAAAAGTTGAGTGTAGGGTCGATATGGAATCGATGTAGGGTCGATGTGTGGTCGCTGTAGGGTCGATGTTGGGTCGATGTGGTCGTGGATGGAAAATACATATAATAAAATGAGAAGGAGGAGG